CGTTGATCGACAGCTCCGACGTTTTGGTATTCGGTGGATATCTTTCTGGCTAGATGCGGATTGTCCGTCGGGCTGCTATTGTCGATTGGTTCGTTTTGAGCGGTAGTCGATATTGTCTCGCGAAGTACTTCCAGCCGCTACGTCTGCACATCTNTGTTCGTGAAACGTTCGCAAGCCGGGACTCTTTTTGTACCACCTTCCATCACACTAACACGCACAGAAGATCACTGTTCAGATGAGGACAATGCTCATTAAAGTCGAACGAAAGTGTTCAGTAAATTATTACAACTTTCCAGAGAAAAGTCCCATAAAAGAACATCAGCGATTGTTTTACGTAAAACCAACAATGGGTTATTGTGATTGTTTTCAGCTCTGTATGAGATTCACACCCAGATTACCAGTATTTCATTATTATTGTTGTTAATGCTAATGATGGTGACTCGTATGGTGTTGTCTCCAATAAGTATGACTCAGATGGTGACAATGATTAGGAAATAAAATGATTGGAAGTGTTTTGTGATATCTCTCCCTCTAGATACGGAAGATCAAGAGAAGCGTTAGGCGATGAGGAGAAACAATTAGTTTCATCCGTTCAGATCAACTCCATTGCGTTTGTGCCATATCAATCACTGGGACAAAAGTGTGCATGGTGAAGAAGCAATTATTACGCATTCGCTGTGTCGAGTATCGGCATGATCTACTTTTAATCTCAGATTGATCTTTTCGCAAACAGCTCAGGAAAATTAGGGAGACCCTGGGTCACTTGAATCATCATATTATCAATTACCGTATTGAATTAATGGTGGATTCTAGGTCTGGCTAGTTGAATATAGGTGTGCTTGATTCATGTTATTTAATTTATAATTTGAAGGTGAATGATTGTCGGAGTAGGAGTATTTATTACACTAATAATTTGCTCTCATTCCTAGACTGAACGTTGATAGACTAAAATCATCTTTTTCTTGAGTGAAAACACAACAAATTAATATTTTGGAGATGTCTCTCTTTGGGCAAGCAATTATTGTGAGAATAGTTAAAATGAAACAAATAGATTGTTGAAATTGATGTCGTTTAAAAGTAGGAAAGAATAGAATATTTCTAATGCTTTCCATAAATGCCACTGAATTTAAATTTCATTTTATGTTTCTTTGAGATTTTAAATAAAAAAATGTGCATAAATATGCAGTCAATTTTTAGAAAGAAAGCTGAAGTCAATCAAGGACTGCATACAGAGATACTAAAACGCGAAACTGACTAAGTTTACTTACCATCTCATTTTCCTCTATCCTCTTCCCTGCTACTTTTCAACTTGGAAACAGTATGGAAGATGTGGATGCCATGTGGGAAGTAGGCTTATTCCTCAACGATTTGAGTATGCATGACTCTAGTCGTGATATGGTTTTGGCTGGAGAGCAACAATCGGCGGAACTGAAGATGGCTTTGGAGCAGGTGAGTCACGCAATTCCCTCAGCGTAGAACTACGGTAATGCATTCGCTGACTGACTCATATTCTTATCCTCATAGATATCTCTTGCAGGATTGGAGCAATTATTGTCCACATGTCAACCACATTTATTTTTCTCATTCTCGGCCTCAGGAAAGTGAGAAAGGAAAACGTTTGGAAGAAAGTCTACGCCGCCTAGACGAAGAAGTTCGTCGCACCGACGAGCTTCTTTACCGAATGATTCCGAAAGCTGTCGCTGAGAGGCTTCGCAGTGGAGCATCGGCCATTGACACATGTGAAGTAAGTTACTCTAACAATATAACCAATATGCTAAACTACTCAGGCTAAATTAAGTTTTAAATAGCTTTAATAGCATTCCATACAGGTCTAAATACCGTTTTTCTCAAGCCTGGTTAAGTATGACTGATTTTTCTGTTTATTTTAAACCATTTCGACAAATTGAGAGGGATTTGTATTATTTTTGGCTTCCAAATAGCGGCAAACTCGATTTGCAGTCGGGGTGAAAATGTATAACTGTTATTGCCAGCATAAGAAATTCCGGTTTCAAGTCAGTATATGACACGGGTGAGCGTACTGCGCAACTGATCATCACAGTGTCCCAGTACATTCTCATATCAACCCGTTCAAGTTGGAAACATGCCGCAACCAGACCGTTACGGAAGCTGAGAGAGAAACTCTGATTAAAATTATTCCGATGTGTTTTCTCTACAGGCTAAATACAATCAACATTAACTTTTGCCAAATTCCAAATGCATTATGTTGCATGGCAGCATCAGTGGTTCAGTGGTAAGGAAAATGAATGGCTTCGAATTATTGGTATACTATTGGATGACCACAAGGTAAATATCATTAGTCCGCTGCAAATACAACAGTTTATAGTCTGATTCACGTCTAAATACGATCTAACTAGATGCACAAAATATATACATATACATACATACACATATAAAAGTAAATACAGTGGCTTATAATTCAGCAAAATGTGGGCGCATCGAACAGCTGACATTCTCACTGATGTTGGTCTTAAGCAGTTTTTAGTCACTCATAATCCTTCCAGACCCGAGATCATTATCATTATTGGAGAGAATTCAAATTATAACATTCCAGATGCCGTTTATTAGTTGTGAATCACAAATGTTCAACTTCAATGATGGTATTTATGACTACAATGCATAAAATTACTAATCCTAATAGTTTGAGTTCGGTTCAGCTGCGATTCGTAGTCAAGCTTCATCAGGATTCCAAATATGACAAATATCGGAAGACAAAAACTATGTCGAGAAAGCCTGTTTAAGTAAGTTCGTCCTTAGTCATTTACAGTTGTGTTTACATATAAGTTAGAGATAAACGTGATTGGTTCATTAAGAGTAAATGGGAAAGAAGAGCAATGTCTGTCAACTTTTATGGGAGCACATGGAGAAAGAAAGAAGGCGGATCGAGGTCAATTCTGCGATTTTCCGAGGGCCTATTTTAGGCGCGCCGTGTCACGCCCTGTTGCGTCATCACCACATGATTCTGGTCATGATTTGTCACATAGACTGGGGCGGGGCCAAAGGGAATTTCAAATAATGGTGGGTTCAGGATTTTGATTGCCTCTACTCCTGGCTTTACCGAATGACTTCGAACGTACTTCGACTTGCTTTGGGCACCTTATAGATGACCTCAAATGCATCGTTGTTTATCTGGCGCCTAGTATCGGTAAACATAACATAACCTAATCAATAATTTCCTGAGTGAATCCGGTTGAAAAAAAAATAATCCAATCAGTGTGGGTCCAAATCAATATGTATAGTGTTAGTTGTTTTAGACCGAGAGTGAGAGTGTTATTTATTTTGCAGACAGATAGTTGTACTACTGTGTTTCAACGAGGTGGTTTGCCAACCACGAGTTGATTTTCCCTTCAACCTCCTCCTCGATATATGGACTCAAGCGTGGTGGCTCTGGTTTGATTATAATGACTTGGAACCGAATTACATTCTTCAATCTAAAAGATGTAACATGTTGCCTAAAGGGGAGATAGCACATGAAATATTCTTCCTTCGTCTTCAAAAGACAAGAATAAGTGAGTGGTGTTCAACTAATGTACTCATATCTCAAATGCATCAAATCCGAAGTTGACTGACTGACTCTGAAAAGAGCATCTAAACACGCGTAATCGGAACCTCTAAATAGCCTCAGTATGAGTTTGTAGATACAGTGGCAGAACATAACTTCTAGGTGAGGAGTCCGGGGGTTCAAACTATAGACGGGGCCTTGAATATGCGCCCCGAATCATCTCTAATTAAAGGGAAAGTGGAGTTTGTGACTGCATCAGGTTCGTGCCGGACTGTTTGAACTGAGCCTTGTGTGAGAGGATGAAAATTGGAGATGACCGTTCAAACTCGATTGGTAAACATGTAACCCACCACGGGGAAAATACCAAAATGGATCACAAGTGATTATTCTAGAGTATGATGTCTGACATAGCTAACTTGTCATCACCAACGTTTCTTTTCCCATCAAAACGAACCCTCGGTTCGTAGACCTCTGAAAGATAGGTTTGACGGTCAACCCATTGAACGCATGCCTATTTGCATTAAACGTTTTTTTATGTTGCTCCGTAAAAACTCACAACTCGTTTACTGCCTAGTGTAATTCTTTTTCCTGGTTCTCGAAATTTATTTAGTCATAATTAAAGACAAGCTAAGGGTTGGGGATCAAATTGTGGTGATGAAAGACACAAATCAGGTACCTGGAAATCTAATGTTCTATAGTCTGTGAAACTTTGCGATATCATATCCACCGTTATGCTGCAAATGCACTTCTAACAGTAAATGGTAGTCCGTTTTGATGTATTTAAATCCGAAATGATTGCTTCTTGCTCCCTTTCCCTCTTTCACTCTATCTGTTCTTGGTGAAATCGTAGACATTCGAGAATATGACCCTGTTGTTGAGTGACGTGGTCGGTTTCACCACCATATGCAGTGGTCTTGCTCCGCTCGAAGTTGTCGATTTGCTGAACCGACTGTACTCCTGCTTTGATGGTTTGACGGAGAAGCACAAAGTGTATAAGGTAAATGAACCCATAATGTCGTCGGTTTTTAAATAATTGAGAAGATTTCTATCTTGAATCTTGTGTGTGGGAGGGGGGAGGACAAGTGTTGAGGTATGGCGGCTTATTTCGCAGACGGAAGGATGTTATGAGCAAATTCACTTTGACCATTCTGATGCTTTACAGCATGTTTTGACCGATCCCCTGCTACCGTTTGCACATCTGCTCTACTTATGTGCACACAAGTCCCCTTAGGCTCCCAAAATGGGGACTTCGGGATCATTGTAATTATTGGTCAGAGACAGAGTGATGTGACTGGGTGTCGTAAGCAGTGGCGTTCATGCATCTTCTAAATTTGTTTGCAACATTAGTTCAATGAAATTGTCCATTTTCTACTCTACTTTCAAATTTCCTGTTCATCCAAATGGGCAACCAAAAGGGAGTAACTGACACACGACAGTGCATGGTTCATAGTTGTTCAAACTGAAAATACAACTGAGGTCGTAGCTAGTAATGTTCCTTCCTAATCAACAGAAATTTTCACATTTTTGTGTCTTCATAATAAAAGCAAAGATAAAAAGGTTTTAACGAGATGTTAACAGGAATTCAATTCCTGAGTGCCCTTTATCAAATCTGACATTTGAACATACGTCTGGCACCGACTTTTCCCGGTTGATACTCATGTCTCGCATTTGCTCTGGGTTTGCAGATTTGTGCCAAGTAAATTTGTGGAGGATAAAAGCATCACGATCAACAGGAAATCTCCCCGCATCACTTATAGGGCCACTTTCGTTGCGAACTTTGGGATAATTGAACCAAATTTGCTAGATGAAAAACTGCCTAATCACGTAGACAGAATAACATCACTGTCATAGCATAAGTGTACAACATTCCTGCTTGAGTTGCGATATAGCTAATTTCTCCGCATGACCAGGATGTCGAAATGAACCAAGATGTGCTATGCATTTTTCTTCTTGACTGTCGTGTCATCGTTCGGCAAAAATCGAACGATTACATTGTTAGATGCTAAAGTTGATCGCGTTAATCACGTATCTGTAGGCAACGAGAAACATAACATGGAACGCACGTAGCAGGTAGACTAGTTCTTGTGAATCCAGAGGGTGACGTAGATGCGTTTCTCGCGCCGGAATTCTTCTCAGCGATTTGGATTTGTTTACCCGCTACTCAGTGCTAACCAGTAGTAAAATTAAGGGCTCGGAAATTGGTGCACTGGACAAAGTGCAACTTCAGCAACATAGCTGCTAAATAAACGGTTTGGTTTACTCAACATTCCCAAGATTTGTAGTGACACTGTATTGGTTTTTTCGCCAATAAGAAACCAGGAAAATATACCGGTAATTTACTCAATGAAATCTGTAGCCTACCAAGTGACAGAAGCAATTATGGAAGTCTTGAAGAGCATCGTACGGTCGGTTTGATCCGGGTGAGCATCATGAACGGTGCACATATATCCTTTTCACGGAAAACCTAATTTGAGGGTTTACAAGTGAAACCGAAGTGCATTCTTCAAGTGATGACCCAGAGCTGGATCAGGTCACGTTTATTGCGGTTAGTAGCATCTAATCCATTTACAAAACATTGAATCATAACATTGATTCTTCATTGGATGGCTCTGAAAGAGCTGTCTAGCCAATGGTCACCAGGTGTTGCAAACAAGGTTATTGTGACGAATATATATATCTATCTACATTCAGCTTCATTTTGTACAAATATGCTCAGCTTTCGGTTGCTGTCTTTTAATTGCTGCTTCCAATGCTGCAGCAGGAAAAGGGGGAAATTTGAAAGTAGAGTCAGGAAGAAATTGTGATGAGGCATGAACGCCACTGTTTAGGACATTCCGTCATATCACACATTGTTTGTATTGTGTATTGTATTGTGTATCACTTTTGCAAGCACTGAAGCTCACATTTCAGTTAAAAAATATCGTACACGCTAACCCTCACAATGTACATTATCAACGGGGAGAAAGGTTTTTACAGGTATGGGGACATTTCATAATCCAAGGTTAAGACAAAGTTCACTTATTGTCGGCTCTTTGTTTATGAGTAGACGAGCAAGATACGGTATGGGTGAATTGTGGTATGCATTAGTTCGAGATGAAATTTGACGGAATTGGGAACGTGTGGAATGATGGGAGCGACAAACTGTCAGTTATACGTGCAATGGGTGAGCAGGATCTGTGAGAATCCTCTCAGCAAATTTCACACAGGAACTTACGTTATACTCTGGAAGCTCTAAAGCTAATTCATTCACAGGAATAGAAGAAACACGACTAATAATGGTTAGACCGCGACGTAAGACTTTGAAATCCTGTTTGAGTAAACCAGGGAAAATGACTGGGGAACAGTAGAGTAAGATGGGGAAAACACATTGATAAACAGAAGTAGAAACGACTGACTGGGATTCGCGAAACTGCCTGAGCTTTCGTATTTGAAATGAAAGGCGTCGCAATTTACCAATACAGTTGCGGATATGGGTTGACCAATGAAGATTGCTATTTATGGCTACACCAAGATATTTGACAGAGCTCACCCTGGATAAAGGATTGTTATTAATCACTGTGGGGTCTGTCGGATATGGAGAGCGAGGAAAACTATCTAAACACTCAACACATTTACTGGGGTTCAGGAGGAGGAGAATGACTGAATTTATTGGTGATTATCGATAAAAAAGAGCTTAGATCAGAGTAGGAAGAAATGGGTTGGCACAACACGACATCATCTGTATATTTCAAAATACGTGCGGGAGAAACACAGGGAATATCACAAATATAAGTGGAAAATAAGTAATAGGAAAGCACCGCTCCTTGAAGGACCCCGTAGTTGTTGACTAAGGGTTTTGATGTGGCCTTCCCCAATCTAGTGGTTTGTACCCTATCGGTAAAATAGTTGGATAGCCAAGCTAACAACTGCTTGGGGCATTCAAGCGATTCCGTTTTTTGTAACAACTTAGATCGAGGAATGAAATCAAATGCAGAATGGTAGTCCAGATAAACACACCGAACAGACTTAACAGAGCTGTTCAACGATTTAGTGATGAAATGAATGAGGGTGGGGACTGCGTCCAGGGTACATCTATTTGGCATGTAAGCAAACTGTAACGGATCACTGGGAATGTTTAAAGACTGTTGAAGGCGTTTGAGGATGGCCTTTTCAGTCAATTTAAGAGCTGAAGATGCTAATACTATGGGGCGAAAACGTTTGGAGAGGATAGAAGATTTGGATGCTTTGGGGACTGGTATGATTGTGATTGGCCTCCAACAGTCAGGGATAGTAGAAGTGTGAACGGATTCATTTACAATGGAGGTAATTGCCCCAGCTAGGGAAGCAGCACCAAATTTGAAGAGGGCTGGATGTAAGTCATCCGGGCCTGCAGCAGAAGATGATTTGCAAATCTTTAAAGGTTTTAACACATCACAGTATGAGAGTGGTTCCACGTTACAAACATTTTGTGATGAGTAGGCAGGAAGAATGTCCGATGATTGGCGCAGGAATGCGGCATTGAGATCATCAGCGTCCACATCTACGTTCGACCGTACTTTCTTCCTTCCACAGAGAATTCTTATAACTTTCCATAGGTGTTTGCTGTTTCCAGTCCTCAGAATTTTATCAGAGAATAATGCATTCTATTTAATTCAGTTTTGATAAGCCTGGACAAATACCTAACAGCTGAAGCATTGTGAGATTTGTGCGCACGTTTCTTTTGACGTCGCAGCGACTTTAGTAGGGCAGAGTTCATCCTTCTGTTGGACACAGAGACTTTGAATAGGGCAGCAGTAATTAAAAATGACATTGATTGTTCGGGTGAATAGGGGGACACATGTGAGCAGAGAAGAAGATGATGAAAACCATCGGAAGGCCTGTCTGAGAGATTCATTCAGGAGAGAAACACGTGTAAGTGAGAAGTTACGAAAACGAAATCTGGTGTGCTCAGATTGGGTAAAAGATTTGCAAGCACAATGTGAATAAACTTTAGGTCGAACTAAGAGTAAGCAATGGTTACTGGAGGAAATAGGAGCTTTTAGTGCTAAAGGAAAAAGGGTTGGTGGTTGGTAATAACTCTGTCCAGGATAGAGTTACCTCTTTTGGGAGCGTGACAAAGATCTGTCATAGCCAATGATAAAAGTGGATAAGTGCTAGTATGGTTGAAGTCACCAACGATTATGTGCAGGTTAAAATCTAAAAGTGGGGCAATAAAAGGTATGAACGAGTAGAAAAATGACATACGATTAGACTGTGTACAGGAGGGGGCTATGTACAAGTTAGTCAAAATTGTGTGAGTAAGACGGGAGAATCTAGGGTGACACTGTACAGTTAGGCACTCAATACCTTTTGAGCAGTACTGATAAACAACATGAAACTTGCCACACTAGGAAACATTGACATATGTGGCAACAACCCCTCCGGTTCCGCGATCCTGCCGGCAAAATTGATAACCGTCTGTTGACACCAGGGAGTCATCTACGTTCTTGTTCAACCATAATTCTTGAACACAGACTGCACACGTGTTTGTATGAATTCTTGATCTGAGGACACTAGTTAAATCCGACATTTTGAGGAACAGGGACCGAGTGTTGGTGCTGACCAAGGAGGGGACAGTCATCTTTGACGGAGGGGTGCAACTAAAGGTAACTTGCCATCCTGCACGCTTGCGTTTTTTGGTCCAGCCTGGACAGTGAGAAAATGGAGTCGCACAAACTGCTGAACCATTGAAGCATGTCCAGGCACGTTTTACACAAATAATATCATCCCGTGAGTAACGATGGCGCATGATAGTGAGTGAAGAGGTGAAAACTCTCGCAATGTGAGGGAGAGCCTGTAAGTGTTTCAAACCATTGATTATAATGATCTCGAGGATCCAATCCAGGTAGCCTAACGCAACTTACATGATTGGATCTCCTGGTTAAGGAATCCTCGCCCCCGCGCCATGTCTTATTTTGAGCACCCCTGGCCTTTTTCCAACGACTACCTACCTCGGCAAACATCGCGTGCGTAACACGC